AGAAAGAAAGAAAGAAAGAAAGAAAGAAAGAAAGAAAGAAAGAAAGAGAGGAAGCGGGGGCGGAGAGAAAACTCTGTGCTATTATTGTTAATTGTTCCATTATTTATCATATATTAATATTTTACAGTCCCTACACCTAGAGTGATTTTACTGCCTTTCTTTTGCCCAGGTATTTTTAGGGTTTACATGTCTATAGTCCAGAGCATAAATACACATGTGTGTTTAACAGAGTTGAAAGGGACCTTGGAGGTCTTCTAGTCCAACCCCCTGCTCAGGCAGGAAAACAGGATGCCAAACTCTGAGTAGAGGTCCTGGGAAAGGTGTCAGAATAACAGAATAACACTTAGAAGGGACCTTGGGGGGGTGGGGGGACTCTGTACCATTTCAGAGAAATGGCTGTCCAGTCTTTTCTTAAAAACCTCCAGTGTTGGAGCACCCAGAACTTCTGGAGACAGGCAGTTCCACTGGTTAATTGTTCTCACTGTCAGGAAGTTTCTCCTTAGTCTTAGTTTGCTTCTCTCTTTGTTCAGCTTCCATCCATTGCTTCTTGTTTTGCCTTCTGGTCTTTGGAAAATACATTGCCCCCCTTCCTCTTTCTGGCAGCCCCTTAAAAGCCTCTCACCTATCACACTCTTGAGCAAAGCATGTGAGCCATTTCCTCCTTTCAGTGGTCCATGAAAGTACATCTATAGTATGTAGATAAACAAGTCAAAAAAAGGTGAACAACATTTTTACAGAACTATAGATAAGTTGAGGCTGGGTGACAAGGAATGGCTGGGAGGGGAGGAGCCAGGCAAAGCACCCCTTGACATGAGTGACATTGAGTTGGTCACGCCCACACAGTCACATGACCACCAAGCCATGCCCAGCCAGTCATATGACCACCAAGCCACACCCAGCCAGAAAAGCCACACCCACCCAGTCACATGATCACCAAGCCACACCCACAAATTAAGCCATGCTCATAGAACCAGTTGTTAAGAAATTTGAATCCTACCCCTGCCCTGAATGTTACATTATTTCAGGATATTTGTGCATTTATTTATTTAGTGTATGGCATATCATACATGAATTAGCAAAATATATTAATATTTCACCTAGATTAGTAAAGCACAGTAAGATATAAATGTTAAAAAGATCTATGTTCAAATACTAATGTCTAGGCCAGGGGTGTCAAACTCAAGGCCTGGGGGCCGAATCCAGCCCATCTAATACTTAGATCTGACCTGCAGTGCCACCCTGGAAACAGCAAAGGACTGGCCCATGGTGCCTCTGCCAGTGAAAACAGAGCTCATGAGGGACGCCTTTGGCCCCCCCAAACTCCGTTTTCACTGGCAGAGTGTTGCAGGAAGCCATTGCAACCAAAAACGGAGCTTGGGAGCCTGTTTTCTCATCAGAACACTCAGGCCACCACAGGTGCCCACAACATGAGTGACATCACCCTGGCCATGCCCATCCCAGCCCCCCCAAGGTCAAACACAACCCTAAGGCGGCCCTCAATGAAATTGAGTTTGACACCCCTGGTCTAGGCCATCTAAGCCTTGAAATGCAGAATCATTTATATTTTTAAAAAAAATCAGATACTGACCCAATATCTCATCTTACAGCCAATCATGATGTGATCTACAGTTTGACATGGGACCCCACAGTTACACTTAGGGGAGGTTACTATGTCCCATTTAAACAGAGAATCCCAGTAGATGCTGTGTGGGGTGTCAATCCTACTCAGAATTATCCATTGCTGACGTGATAGTTCAAAGCCTGGCATCTTTTTT